TTTGCCAAAATTTGCAGTATTTGCCAAAAAATAGGGATAATTTAGTTCAGCCACGATCTCAACATTATAGATAAATCTTCGAATATTAAAAAATATTAAAATTTTTTTAATTAAATTAAACCTTTTTAAATTTAGAAAGATGTAGAAATTAGAAAAATATATCTCAAATAAAAGGAGCCATTATAAAAAGCAGATCCAGAATCTTACCTTATAAAATCCACAAAAAATACTAGGCTCTTTACTCATTTCTTTGTTACAACTTTCTTTTTCTGAACCCACCCAATAACTAAATCAAATTTTTAACGTCTACACAAAAATAAATATGACAAGGGAAGATGAAGAAGGCAATGACGCAATGAAATAACATTATTGCAAGCATTTCGAAAATGATAAGGCCAAATGCAAAAAAACCTATTAAAAACGACCGGCATTTTCAAGATTTTGAAGACCGTCCAAAAGACTTCAAATGGAAGAGTAAAAGTTACAAACCAACGGTAAAACTTTAGCCAACGATTAGTAAGCAGAATGCTTATAAAACTCCTGCTTCCCATAGCAAGCGCAAATTAACAATAAACTTGCAGCTCCAACTTGAGGCAAACTTAAAGTGCAACCATGTTTCTGCAAGAAGCTTAAGCAGCCTGAAAACAATAAACCCTCCTGTAAATCACAACTTTCCTACCATTATAATATTATGACCTACCTGAACTTTCATCACTAGCTACTGCAATAAATTTAAATTAAGAACTTTTTGAGAGGTGACCGCTTTGAAATTAAGCAGGAGAGAACCAAATGTAATGCTTAAAAAGGTTATAAGACATCTAAAGCTTACGTCATGATTATCCAGTTTTATCATTAGAACTACAGTTCTGCTGATGCTATTACCAAAAATTAACAAAGGAATTGTTATGAGACGACATATAAAAACCATTATTTTTGCTTTCATACCAATTAACAACAGCGTACCTCATCCTGGCACAAACAAAAAATGCCCTAAATTAAAGCCATCACGCATTTTTAAAAATTATAAATAGAAACACAACGAATTATAAAAAGTTTACAAATAAGAGCTGTACGCTTACACTAATTAGCCTCTTTAAATTAACTTGATAACAGGCATCCTCAGAGCATTATATGAATTTGCGTACTGAATATTATGCAAAAAATATATCAGTAGTATTGGCAAAGAACATAAAACTGAGATGACCAAAAAATGCCAGACTGAAAATATTGAAAAACCTTCCAGGAAAAGTAATCTGTGAGGAGAAATACGATCTTCATTTCAAGAAAAAAAAAAAAAAGACGAGGAAACCCCGCTCAAATCCAAAAAACTCAACAGTTAAGAAGTGGACACGATTACATAATTTCAATTAGCTTATTCAGAAAAATTACCAGCATTCCTGGTGATTTTGAAAACTAAGAAATGACAATTAACATCTTATTTTAAAGTTGCCAATACCCGTGTTTTCCATAAATAAACAATCTCCTTGCTATAGAGCTTAAGAAAGTTTACAGAACAGTACCCTTTGTCCCCATTTATATAAGCCACTGAAATAACCGTTTGCACGACTTTAGTAAAACCGCATTTTTACTCTTGTCCAACTTTTCATGAAAAAAAACTTCAACTGATGTTGAAATAAACTGTCGAAGCAAATCGTGCTTTAAATATAATAAAGAACACAAAGTTTAAACCTTCGGGTTACAATTCACCACTAATAAAAACAAGTTGAAGTAACAAAACTAACTTGCAGGTGAGAATCTTCGGTGTGATGAATAGAACGGCGCTTTGGCGAGGCTTTCTTTTCCTAAAATATTTAAAAAATTAAATGGTTTACCAACAGATAGCTTTATTGAAAAATGACATACTGAAATCTGCACTAGAAAATATCGTAGATGAAAGATCGAAAGCAACAAAAGAAAATAAAAAATAGAATAGATTGAAAAAGAAGCAATACCAAAATAAAACAAGATGATAAAAGAAAGTTTTTCAAAGAAAAGTAAGGAGAATTCTATAACAAAAATGAGCAGAATAATATTATAGAATTATTCGCGTGACTCCAACAACGCGAATATTAGACTGACAACCATGAAGTTTAAGGGAAATTTGAAGAGGTTTTTGTACGGATAACAAACCTCTATTTCTGTCGTAGGTATATCTGAAAGAAGAGATAAAGCTTCGTGCGATGAGCGTCTTGACGTAACTGGACGGAACGGTGTAGCGGAGATAGGATTTAATGCAGGAATTTCCGCTGATGCCGTTCGCCCTTAAAACCACACGATCTCACATCCATAAAAACGAATTATTATAAAAAAATTGAACCAATACCCTAATTTATGTCAAAAATTATGAAGTCCACAGCTACATTTTAAAAACAACGATACGCAAAGAAAAAAAAACCTAGTCCATTGTTTTAGGGAACAAAAGCTGCAGTTAATTCAGGAGATATTTACAATAACGATATACAAAACAGTAGGAAAATAACCTGAAGCAGAAGTGGCTGGGAACAAATACTCGCGACACAGTTCAATGTTATTGCTCTTTTTTGCTTCTTTTACTGCATCGACATTTTTTCTACTCTGTTTAGATTGTGAATGATGCATTGGGTGAAAACTATCTGATGATATCACATCTGCGATCACTGCACCTAATAAACGTAGCTTTACCGTAAACTATAAAGTGATCACAAGTCTTTTCAGTGCAAACATATAAGAATCAAACGTGCGGTACAAACACTCAACCAACTGTCTCCAGCAATTTCAAAAAGCAGTCTCTAATGTCCCCCAGATTTTTAAAAATAGATAAATAGTTTATTCCATAAAAATAAACTCTATCCACGTAGGAAGCAAGTCTAAATAGCTGTAAAAGTCTTTGAAAATAAGCAACAAAGGTAAACCGTTTGTTGAAGATACATCCTCCGAGACAGCTTCATTCACCACAGTACGCCTCACCTTCCCAGACGGTGGTGGAATACGACGCTGGGGACGTACAGGAATTGTGCAGGTAAGAGATGGACGGCGAACTGAATGCTTCAGTGGTTGTTTCTCGACAAAACTAAAAGTACAGATGTTAGAAAGGATAAACCATGACAAGTTACTAGAATACGGGAGCTGATTACAAGTCTAGAATATAAACTCTGCTTGAAAACAACGCAATAATCCATG